TAAATGATGAAGAAAAAAACAATAAATATAAACTCATCTTAACTACTATTTAATACAAATGAATTTAGAGTGATTTAATAAATTAATTAAATATTGATTATTATTTATGAACATACAATAAATGATATAAAATAAAATTATAGAAGATAGGATTAATTTGAATAAAAAAAACATAAATAAAAAAAGAAATATATAAAAAAGAAGATCAAAAAGATAATGAAAAATTGTTGATAATTATTAATTGTAGAGAGAAAGATAAAATAAAAAAAAGATTAATTAAAAGATTTTTTTTCAAAAGAAGTAATGAAATCAGGAGAAGCATCTTCAAGCCATTTAAAATTTACACGAGTAACACCAACCATTGTTTTATAAGCAGTTTCTACTATTTCATGAAAAACAATATAATCAGGAAGTTGACCATATAAAACACTTTTAGAAGAAATAACAGCAGGTTGTTTAGTAATAGCTGTAAGATAAGCATGCCTTAAACCCGAATTAATATATTTACCAAGTTCTTCTCTTCTAACAAGTCTAGCAACATTATCAACAAAACAAGAAGCAATAATTTTTCTAAGTTCGATTTGTTCAGAAGGAGTAATTAAATGAGTTGGAATTTTATTTTGTTTACCTAAAATATTACAAAGTTGAGATCTAAGTAATAAAATTTCATGAAAAGCTTGAATTTTAATACCATAAAGTTTACAATATTGTAATTCAGTAATACTTTTTTTAGCTTCAGCAATACGGAAAGTATCAATTAATAAAATTAAACTAATTAAATCAGAATCTTTATTTATAAATAAAGAACGATCACATTCTTGATCAAGAAAAATATCATTTACACTTAATCCTGAAACTAATGTTAATCCAATTTCTTCAATTCCTTTTTTTTGAGTTAAATATAATATTTTTCCTAATCTTGGATGTAATGGATATTCTTTAATAATTTTTCCAATTTCTGTTATTCTTTCTTTAGAATCTAAAATTCCTATTATTTCTAATATTTTATTTGCTTCTTTTAATCTTTCTATATTAATTTGACTTGGAACTGGAAAATTTATTACTTTATCAATTCCCATTCCTTTTAATGTTAATATAACACTTTCTAATGGCATTCTTTCAATTTCTGCTTTTTCAAATTCTTCAAATATATTTTCATATATTGATGATGAATAAAGTCTATAACAATATCCTTCAAAATTTCTTCCTGCTCTTCCTGCTCTTTGTGCTGCTGATGCTTTTGAAATCCATTTAATGACAAATGAACTTATTCCACTTTTAGTATCGTAATATCTTGTTTTTTTTCTTCCACTATCAACAACATATTTAATATTTGGAATTGTAATTGATGTTTCTGCAATATCTGTTGATATTACACATAATCTTTTTCCTTCTGGTATTTTTTCAAATATTTTTTCTTGTTCTTTTGGTTCTAAACTTGAATATAATGCTAGTACATATAATTCTTGATTTTCTTTATTATTTCTTAATTCTTTACAAACTTCTTCAATTTCTTTATGACCTGTTAAAAATACTAAAATTCCTCCTCCTGGTAATTTTTTATGAATTTTATTTACTTTTTTAATTGCTTCTGAACAATAATCTTCTATTTCTGTTCTTTTACTAAAATATGTTCTTACTGGATATTGTCTTGTTTCTACTTTAATTACTTTTGGTGCTTTTTTAAATAATCTTTGATTTTCTGTAAATTCACTTACTCTAAGTGTTGCCGACATAATAATTAATCTCATTGCTTCTCCTCTCTTATTTCTTAATTTTACTATTCGACTTAAAATACCAATTAATATATCTGTATTTAAATTTCTTTCATGTGCTTCATCAATAATAATACATGAGTATTTTCTTAATAATACATCACTTTGAATTTCTCTTAATAATATCCCATCTGTCATAAATTTGATTTTAGTATTTTCTTTTACTTGACTATCATATCTAATTTGATATGATACTACTCCTCCTTCTTCTCCCATTTCTTCTCCTACTCGTTTTGCCATCGCTGTTGCTGCTATTCTTCTTGGTTGTGTTATTCCTATCATTCCTTTAAATTCTGATTCTTCATTCCCAAATCCAATTTCATATAAT